TAGGCTCTTCAATAACAAAACTAGTAACATGCTGATTATAATGACAAATACAAGTTTGCTTAATCGAACATCCCACCACTCATTTGGATTCGTGGCTGTGGGACCTATCTGAATAACTCGGGCCCAGTTTCAGTTAAGGTTCGTGATGCGATGATAAAGCGATTTCGAAACCACAAGCAATATTGCCCGAATGGAAATACCGTTTTGGAGACATAAAGTGAAATTCAATGGCATTGGGGGGAAATTCAACCTTGTCCTACCTAGGGTGACTAGAATTCTTGTACTTCGACTAATCTACTTACTTCCATACTTTGCACATAATTTTTTAAACCGAATTATACATTCAAGATTTTATTTATGGCTTATTCGGCCATCTAAATCTTGAAAATGCGGAATGAGCTTATTGCGAAAAATATAGGTAAAAAAGCCCTCATAGGTGCACCAAATTTGATTGGCTTTTGTGTTTCACATGATAGCTAAGATTTAGTGAAAAGACGGCATGATTTTGGCCCTAAATTTCACTGCGTCATACAATACAGAAGGTCGTTGTCAACCAAAACTAACTGCACTTTCAACCCCTGACTGATCGTCTTTTCGCCGCTTCCAGCTAAATTCTAACGTTAGTTGTTGAGCTTACTTCCATTTCGAGTGAAAGTGTTGGGTGAAGAGATTCGAAGGTCGGTTTCACCAGAAGACGATGGCCAATTCCTCTTCACCAGCTGTCGATTGGCTTTATTGAAAGATTCATGCTGACGCTGTTTCCGAGGTAAACTACTTCGATTCCGGTGAAAAGGTGCTAAGCTTTCGTCCGTCATATGACCAACATCATCAGAGCAATGGGTATAATCGTCACAACCAAATGCAAGCTAACGAGTGAAAAAAACTCGACATATGACAGACGAAAGCTTAGCCTTTTTTCTGAGATTGCCTCGGAAACAGCGTCAGCATGAATCTTCCAGTAAAACCAATCGACAGCTGGTCAAGAGGAATCTGCCGTCGTCTTCTGGGGGAACCGACCTTCGAATCTCTTTAACCAAAATTTTCACTCGAAATGGAAGTAAGCTCAACAATGATGAAACAAGTAATTCATAAAAACCCAACTTTTCTTCACTTTTATTCTAACCTTAGTCCCTTTGAGTCTTGTACTTTAAAGACCAAAATGCTCGTCTCGTATAGCGCAAGCCTACGGCTCGAATCCAACTGTGGGTGTTAACGAAACGATGAGACGAGGTCGAATCCACAATCAAATATGGAGTAAAATGTCCTTACGAGAAGCAAGGTGACATGAAATTCCTTGCAAAATCAGCACTTTTCTTCACTTTATTGTTGGCAGTTCAATGGTGAAGTCCGTCGAAACGGATAGACTTCTGCACTAATCAGCAGCCTTTTAATTGTGAAACAACGCCCTTACATGCTGGAAAGTTTTTATGATGCCTATTTCATAGACAACCGGTTTAAGTATCCAGTTGCAACTTGTTGATTGTATCAATTCCACTATTACTGACGATAGTATTAATAGAATGAAACACAGGAAAGACGCAAAGTTGTTTGCATGGAAAGTAAGGCTACCCGACTTGGCACAGGAAGTATAATTTGTTTGGCTCGATACACAATTGCACACCAATAGATAAACATACACGTACAAACACATGCACACATGAAGAGAGAGAGAGAGAGAGAGAGAGAGCATATTCCATACACTTCCTCTTCCTTCAAGCTTATTATCAGCCTGACCGGTCAATCTGCTACAGAAGCATTGATTTGTAAGGGCCGGTGGCTACAGCACCACCGACGCCACTGGGACAAGGAATTTTATGCTTTTCAGTTGTAACTGACCCGTGCTAGACATTCCAAGCACATATCTCCTCGTTATGTGCCGGGCATTTCTATGCCGGACCTTCATCCCTCCTCAAAAAATACACACACACACACACATACACACACATGCACACTCCCGCACAAGTTTCCATACATTTATTTATGCATACAGGCCAATAGGGCCATAAGCAAACAGACAGACCACCTACACGCATACACCTCGACATGAAAACACACACACACACACACACACACATAGTAATCTATCTATGTAGCCAGGGTCGACCATGTTGCTTCTCATGGCATTGCATATTGCATGCTGGAGGCTCTAAACGCCAGTCAAGGACGTGTATCTGATTTGGCGGCGCTCACATTCCATACGGACAACCTTCACAGCTTTATGGAAGAAGGAGAAGGGTGGGGCGGGGGGGTGTAGACATGCTTACGGACTGGCCAGCCCGAACTTGTTCGTCTATCTGTGCATGTCTGACTGGGCCGACGCTCGGCGTGAAAGCAGGCGTACAGCTTTAACAACAGTGAAATTGGGTTTCAATATGAGTGGGACTTTGTTAAGGCCATTTGGGACAGTTGTCTGAAGTGGGGTAGAATCGAAATCACGTCGCTCTGACAACCGAATTTTTAGGCATGCTCTGCTGGCGCCCTCCTGCTTTAGAGTCCTTCTTCCATGCCAGTCTGGGTACATCTCTCGAGTGCTGCCCTCAGCCAACCCGACAAGTGTGGTCTTCAAAGACACTCTGGTCGGAGCCTAGTCGTCACAGCAACACGCAAAGTTCACTTACGCAATCGGCCCACTCAAGCGGCCATTTGCATGCTCATCAGCGGTATTTTGTTCAGCCAGTTTCCGTCAAATTGGTCTGATTATATGAACTCTTGACGACTTTGGAAACTAGGACTACAGAAACGTTAAGTTGTTGTTTAGCAAGGACCGTGGTTTGTCACGTTGGTTCTCGTCTATCCCTCCTACCAGAACGTTTAATACTTCGTTCTCTTGTCTCACAACTAAGCCTTGAAGGTCACTTTAAATCTACCAAAGAGACTGATTATGAATATAGCATTCCATCCAATAAGTCCTTATTCTGAATCCGACTTTATGGCTAAATTGCCCATAATCCGCGTCGATTTCAGGTATACTCGAAAGCTTACGTTGTATTTACAATCTGTGGCGTCACCCAACCATGTTTGGCCTGTTCATCATTCAACGACTTCTGCATACAGCTCCACTTATTCGTAGACCACTTTTGCGCATACTTATACACACACACACACATTGGCACGCCTCCACTTGGACAGACAAACATGCACATATAACATACCAATCACCACGACGAAAGAACTTTTATCGTAGCTTCCCCATCAGAGAGTAATTTCCAAATAGGTAATTCACTTGAAGATATGAAGACCAAGATTGTGTGGACACCGGTATGGTCACAGTCTCCTTTAGATTTATAAAACTGGGTTAACCATGTTATCGCACCTTGGTCTTGTTGTCCGGGAGAATTAGTAGAACGCACCTAGTCCGAAGCCGTCTGCCATAGTAGTTATCACAATTCCCAGTATCAAACCGTGGACTTGGTACATTCTTAGACGTTTTGCCGGCATCGTAGTCGGCATCATCAGTGAGCTTTGCCATTCTCCGCACCAAACGAGATTGATGCAAAAATTCAATTCACGATGGAAGTAGAGGAAGGTGAGAGGTTGAAGTGATCCGCTCTAATGGGACGCTCAAAAATAAATTATTCAGAAAAAAGTCTTACGCTGGGATAATACTAAATTTACGGTCCCATCACAAGTACAGGCTGAAGATGGGAATAATGAGGAGCATGATCATCCGAAGTCTACGCCTAACTGATGTAGAATTCTGGGACGAGAAACTGAACAAATTGACGAGGATATTGCTCGGCTAACCGGAGGAAAGGGGATCGCGATGAGGATAAAGGAGTGCCGGGGAGTTTTGGCAGTCAAGCGAAGACGTTCTCAGTGAGTGATGTCCGTTTCGAATAAACCAGTACAACTTTGGGGGCCTGGCAGTAAGGGTGCGGGGCAGTCGGATAAGCAAACCGTCACGGAAATTCTTCTTTATGGCCAAAATGTACCGGAAATCCACTTGAGATGCCACATTTGACCACAGTTTGCTCAGATAACATGGGTTTAATCAAGAAGACGACCAGTGAAGGCAATGCCTGATATCTGCAAGTACTGGAATCACATTCTAGACGCTCTGCTCGGTGAGGCGGCAATGTACGTGTTTCTAGGGCCTTGAGAAATAGCGCTTGGAGTTAAATGCACACAGGGACTAGAA